GAGCCTCAGCAGACAGGGAAATAGCTACATGTAACTTCTCTCAGCGAAGAGAACAGTGTCCTGTTCCCACTGTGCGCCCAAGAAGGAAACCGTGTGCTGGCATAAAGTCACACAGAAGGTGCGTGAAGGAACAAGAACCCCCAGGCCTTCACATCTACCTTGCATCAGCCCAAAGAACCCTGTATCTCCAGGTTACTGTCCAATTACTGTATTTTACTTTGTGCCAAAGGAAACACAAGTTCTCTATGACAGATTGAAAAAACCCTAAGGCTTAGCAGAGGATGCTTAGGTTTCCAAAATATTTTTCCTAGCAGGGCAAAAGGTAGCTAGAAAAAGACACCCATGGGATATGTTTCTTCTCTTCTGGTCCAGGAAAAACTGTTCTGGAGGTGGCTTTTATGTAAATGTTTGCATGATGAAAGAATAAATCACGAAATCATCCAGGACCAGAGACCTTCTGGTCAGAAGCTGGACAAGTATTCATTCTGTTTTGAACATAAGGATGAGAGTTTGGTAATTGGTTCTGGTTTTGAAGTTCATCCCGTCCTTTTTCCTCAGTCACCATGTATGATTATTTTCCCTCCACTCCATTTCTCCCAGCGCCCCCCAACCCACCCCATTTTTGAACCGTTGCCCTTTCACTCGTCCTATGAGCTGAGGTGCAGGGGCTGTTGGCTGCCAACACTCATGTCCACCCTCCAACCACGCCCAGATGTTCAGGTCCAGCTTCACTTTAACTTTCAACTACAGCTTCATAACTGTTATGTTCTGTGCTTAACTTTTATAGGTCTTCTGTAATTTTGTGTGGTTAATTTTCTTTCTTTTTTAAAGATTTATTTATAGAGAGAGGGGCAGGGAAAGAGAAAAAGAGGGAAACATTTGCTAGAGAAACACTGTTCGGCTGCCTCCCATGCACTCCCAGCTGGGGACCTGGCCCGCAACCCAGGAACCCAGGCGTGCCCTGACCTGGAATCGAACCCACAATCTTCCAGGTTCACAGCCTGGCGCTCAATCCACTGAGCCACGCCAGCCAGGGCTGTGGTTAATTTTAAAAGCTGGAAACCAATGAACACTGTTTACATTATTGAGCCCATAGAAGTAGGTCACTGCAGGGCCACAGGTGGGCAAAGATTCTTTTTCCTTATCTGTAGGCTTACATTTCCAACATCAAGATCAGATGTCAGTCTTGGCTTTAGAATGCCTTCAGAGTTTGGCCCCCAAAACGCAAGCACCAGAAGGGTTTTATTCTGGGGAACAGGTGCCCTAATAGAAGCCTTAGTTCTCCTAGAATAGTTAATTCCACATCTTTTGAGGCAGTTCTTGGGTTTTATGTTTATTTTTTGAGTTTTTTTATTCCCTGGGCTCTGTGTTTGGATGAATGCCTGCTGAGAGGGCCTGACTGGTAGCTGCTGATCTACAGGACCTTCACGTGTTGGCACTATTTTCAGCACCTCCTCTCCTCAGTCGTACCCTTCAGCTCAGTGACACGAAGCTCTCAGTCCCTCCAGAGTTCGGCCTTCTCCATTTCACCTCTGAGCCTCCTCGGTGTAGGTCAGTATGCATCCCACCCACTTCCCATTGCCCAGAAATTTGCTGACGTCTCTCATGCACTTATTATCTCCTTTATGTTCTCTTGGCTCATGAGTTAATTATATTTTTGAACTTTATTACTGACAATAAGATCTGAAGAGGTGGCAAAAGCATAAATATGTTCTGCTACCTTGAACTGAATGATTATGACTTTAGTGTTATACAAAACAATGGTAGTAGAACTAGTTCCTACTTTGGACATTTTATTCTTACTATGTGTTCATTGAAGTCAGAATAATTGTCTCCATTGTTGATTTTGATTACCTTTTGATATTTATTTACATTTGGGCCATTCTATACACACTGAGTATTTCTAGGAATCTTGCATTGAGTCAAGTGCTGAACTGGGAATGTATGGATTACACATATGGATCATGACATTACCAAAAATGGTTTTTCAGTGCTGTAGTAATTAGTAATATCCATGTTCCCATTTTTTGTTGCCTTTTATATTTTTCTATTTGTATCTTATCTTGACCTTCATAGATCTGGATCCCTTCAGTCAGGTATGTGTTGTAACTTTCTCTACGCCCAAGGGTGGTTCTTGGAATGCATGGTTCTTGGAATCAGTCAGTACTCGGTAAACACAGTTGATACAGTTTTGCTTGGCAAAGCAGCCAGCATGAGCATAGTGCTCAGGGTGAGTGTATTAGTAGGTGCTCAGTGAAAATTGATCAAGTACAAGACCCAACTAAAAGAAATTCCCAAAAGAGAACCAGAAAAAAAAGAAAAGGCAATTATTATTTTTAATGAAGAAGTTGAATGTTTTATTATTAGACTGTTTCTTATTTGCCTGCAAGGCCGTTGCTTTACTGTATAAAAATACCATCAGCAAATACAGTATATTACAAAATTAAGGTAGTATTGTTTGTCATCTGACATTGTACAGCGAATAAAAATTTGTCTCCAGTGCCAGTTATTTCCAACGGGAAGATCAGTAAGTATTTTGACCCAAATCCAGACATGGATGTAAGCAAGTCACATTACATAAGGCTTATGACAATATTATCCTTCAATTACATCATTTTTTTAACTAGTTGTTGCCACAGATAATTTCAGGAGTTCTGAATACCATAACTGTAGCCTAGCCTAAAAACATAGGGAGTTGTGAAAAACATGCATATTGTGTTCACTTGCAATCATTAGAAAGTTAAGGACTATTTTCTTCCAGTAGCATTGTTTTAAATAGTTTCTTTTTCCATTGGTACTGCTAAGAGTTGCTATTTTAAATCTTCTCTCCACCACTAACTTAAAACAACTATGCTAGATTAAGTCGTTTCATACTACTTTATTTAGGGGGCGTCCATTTTCACTCCTCTAAAGATTTTGTGTATTTCTCATATGCTTCTTCATTCCTTAGAGCATCTGGTTCTGCAGGGTTACTCAGTGTCATCTTGGCTGCCAACCAACTTCATAATAAGATTTGTTGACAAGTCCTGGATTTTCTGGAAGAGCTTCATTAATCTGTTATCTCTCCTGATAGAGGAAGACAAGAGTTCACTAGCAGCTTTCACACTTTCCAAAGCACCAAACTCTTCTTGTTTGTTCAGTTTTGCCCTAACTTCAGGCAGGCTACAGTAAACAACATCTCCCAAAGCTTCCTCTGCAAAATTGCCAATTCCCATTGTTCCAATACCATTTTATGTTGTTATGCATTTATGTTTCTCTCTGAATATATTCACGGAGAGCAGACTGGAGCTGGGGTGCAGGGACCAGGTGGTGCCACCCGCAAGGCTCCATCCAGTGCCATGGCCATGTTCATAGTGACAAGTGGTTTAAACAAACAAACAAACAAGAACATCTCTCAGAAATGAAACATCATCTGGATGATCAGGCTAAAAGTGTCAAGAGGGGTCTTGTACAATGAATAAAAAATAAAAAAAACCCACACCAACACTCAGTATCATAAGATTTCAGTTTACCAGAGTATCCTAAAAATATCCTAAAAGCTCCTAAGAAGAAAGAGTAGGCCATAATCACAGGACTAGAATTCAGAATGACATTCAGACTTCTCAACAGTAATGCTGGAGGCTAGAAAACAATGGAGCAGTAACTTTAAATTTCTGAATGAAAATTATTTATAGTTTAGACTTCTATTCTCCACTAAACTGTCACTCAAGCATGAGAATAGAATTAAGACATTTTCAAACATGCATGGGCTCAAAAACTGTATCTTCTATCCATCTCTTCTTAAGGAAGTAGTGTGTCATGTGCTCCATCAAAACCAGGGAATGTACCAAGAGGGAAAAGTGATATGGGATCCCAGAGAAAGGAAAGAAGGTCCAACTATGATGGCGAAAAGAAAAAAAAATGACAGAAAAGCAGCAGGATTGGAGAGCTATCTACATTTGAGGAGAGATGGAAGGTTCTAGAAGGATTTTCTTTAAGAAAAATATGAGTTACTATAAAGAAAAGGACTTTTATTGCTTGGACAGTGTTTGAGGGTAAACTATTGTTGGTTATATAAGAAATTAAGCAACGAGATGATCAATTAACGAGATAAGCAATTATCAACTCTAGGAGAAACAAACTGTTGTCTAAGAAAGGAAATATAATTATAGTACACCAAATAGCCCAGCTGTAAGCGATCATAAAAGCAGCAATTCTGGATATTCATTTAACCAAAGACTAATAAAACTTTGATTCAGTAGATGGTGCTGAAATAGTTTAATATCCACATGCAAAACTAAAATGAAGCTTAACCCTGGTTACCTCACACCATATACAAAAATTAATTAGAAGTTAAGAAGTTACCTAAATGTAAGAACTGAAAATATAAAACTTATAGAATAAAACATAGGAGAATATCCTTGTAGCCATGGAATAAGTAGGATGCAGTAACTGGGGAACAATATTTGTAAAACATTTATCAGATTATAGACTTTTATCCAGAAGATAAACTTGCATTTGCCCAGCTACCCCACCCCTCACCTTCTGCCTCTAGACACCACAAATCTGATCTCAGTTTCTAGAATTTGGATTTCCTTTTTTAGATTCCACATGTAAGTGAATCTTTCTCTGTCTGACTTATGTCACTTAGCATAAAACCTTCACAGTCCATCCATGCTGTCACAAATGGCAGGATTTCCTTTTATTTTATGGCTAGTGCTCTGTTGTTTTTATATATACACCACTCCTTTACCCACTCATCCATCAGTGGATACTTAGGTAGTCCCCACGTCTTGGCTATTTGTAAATAATGGTGCGACGAACAAGGGGCGGTGCTGGTAATCCCTTTGAGATAGTAAAGCCATTTCCTTCAGACATACACCCAGAAGTAGGATTGCTGGATCATATGGTAGTTCTACTTTTAATTTTTTGAGAAACTCCATACTGTTTTCCATAGTGACTGCACCAAATCACATTCCTTCTAAATTGTTAGAAGGACAGCACAAGGGTTCAGATTTGGATCATCTTAAAGGACAGAGATTTAGAAGCATTTCATTGTTGTAGTGATCCAAACCCATGTACCTCATTTCTTCATCAAAATTCCACTTGCCGCTCTTGCCTGGCACTGAATATTGATGGTGAGGGTAAGAGGTATAGGTAAAGAGAAAGGGATCTTCCTGAGGAGAATGGCATGTGGTGGAAGGGTAGTAGTTGTTAAAATCCACGTGCACCTTCTCTTCATAAAGATCCCCACCTGGATTTGGCCATGATGGATGAGAACTAGTTTTGGCTGCAGGCGGTTCCACTGGAATCTGCTGGGGGAGGGGTTCTAAAGAGTTCTGGGAAGGGGAGAAGTCGTAAGACCAGCTGGTCTGAGGAAAAGGGTAACTGGGGCAACTGTTGTCATTGAGAGGATTTCTCCCCAAGGCAGCATTTTTATTCCACGTTTGCAGATCGTTGTAATCAGGAAGGACTCCAGAGACAGGAGGCTGAAGCAGGTCTCCACTACTGTAGATCCGGCTGTTGGACACTTTGCATTTCTCATAGAGCTCAGTGGGGCACACGGGAGAAGTGGGGTCTGCCAGATCAGTGGTTCCCCCCAAACTATAGCTCTTGAATAAGCCATCATTCGGTGACTTCTGCTGGGGGGCGTTAGCTGTTAAATGTCCACTGTCACTAGCAGGCAATTGGATGCCTTCCTGGAAAGACCAAGCTAAAGGTAAACTTCCCCAACTCTGTGTTTCACCTGGAACAGACTGGAAAGGAAAGTGAAAAGTTCATGTTAATAAGTTAAGCAAGTTGACACACCTACCCCAGGCACCCATGAGTTCCTCTGTATGAGTCAGTGCACTGCCAGAGTCTCCTCATTCCTTACAAGCTGAAGCCCGAACACACAGAGCAGCGTCACCACGACCACCCAGGACCTGAGAGAAGTAAAGGCCACTTCCATTTCCTTTCTAATCTCACTAACCAGGGAGAGCTGCATTTCCCTCTACTCCAACATGAGTGTGTTTAAACGTTTCACCCTCAGACGAAAACCTGATATCCTAAATGCCTCTGTGAGAAACTTAGAAGGGCTAAGAAAAGTGAAACTACAGCTTTAAAGCTTTATCTTATACTCAGTACAACGCTCAGGGGATCTCTCTCTCTCTCTCATCCATTTCCCTCCTTGACTTCTCTATTTTTTAGTGCTATGTGGAATCCAAGAGACTGGGGTCGTTATGTTTATTTTCTTGAGAGACTTTTCCATAAACTCATTTTGTTGAGTCATAAATAGGACTTCTAGACTATGAAGTGGTAAAGATATTTTTATAAGTGGAGGATGTATATTGTTCTCCAGTTAATCATCACAAAAGAATCTGGTTGGGAATTAAGTAATCCTCTTGTTTATGTAAAACTGTTGACTAATAACAGGATCAGGGGGTGGGGAGAGCCTGTGACCAGGGATGAGTGGGTGGGAAGAAATGCCCTTCAACTTGTCCCATGGCTGGGAGAAGGGATGAGGGGCCAGTTATTTGAATTCAAAGCTTACATTGCCTGACAAGAGACACAAGTTACATATTTTTAAATATGTAAAGTACATTTAGAGCCTCCAGGGATGGACTGGCTCCATTTTTGCCTTCCTGAAAAGAAATGTAGAGCACTGAACAGTAGAAAAAGTACAGGACTTGCCATCACTATTAAGCAGACAGACCTATATAGCACAATATAACCCACGTAAGGCATGGACTGCGTATCACACCCTCTCAACCCCACCCTGAGGATCGTTGGTTTCAGAAACTGCCTTGTTCCTTCATCTTGGTAAAGGGTGATAAAGAAATACAGGGGACCCCCCTGAACAACATGGGTTTGAACTGCACTGGTCCACTTACTTATGGATTTTTTTCCAGTAAATACCTGTACTGTTTTTGATCCGAAGTTGGGAGTCTGTGGATGCAGAGGGCCAGCTGTCTGCACTGATTACTCCATTTTATATGGGAGATTTGAGCATCTGTGGATTTTGGTATCCATGAGAGGTCCTAGAACCAATCCCCCATGTATACCAAGGGACAACTTAAGTTTTGGGGGAGTCAAAAGTTACACGCATATTTTCGACTGCTTGGGGTGGGGTCAGGGGCCCTAACCCCTGCATTGTTGAAGGGTCAGCTGTAATCTGTTTTAGGGAGAACATGAAGTCAATATTTGTGGAGATCATTTTAGTTCATTGTGGTTCTATCAGAACCAAAACATGGAGTGCCAGATAAAGGTTAAGTATTGATTCCAGTCTCTTTTTCATTGTAGCAGGGAAGAGGATTCTAAAATTACACAGAATTTATCATTGAGAGTATGCTACAAAGGTGGTAGACATTAAGAGGAAAACCTCAGGTTCCGTTTCTGTGGCAGACGCCTGCGTATAGATGAGTCTGACAGAAAATGATGTCAGCTCTCATTTGTAGGTAAAGGGTGGCGAGTTGCAGGATGTTTTGAACACACGTGGGGAAAGATTACCTTTGCCTCTGGGCCCCTGTTCAGCTTTAAGGAGATGGGAGAAGATGATGTGTGTACTTTCTTCATTGTTCTTCTTGCCTCGGCCTCCAATTTGGTTTCAGGTTTTGGATGATCATGTTCTCCCTTTGACTTAAAGGAGACCAGACATAAAATAAATAACCAGATGGTACTTCTGGTTTGTAAAATTTTACCCTATGCCCTGCCACCTGACTGTGTGTTGCTACAGTTGAGTATTGTAACAAGATGGCTAAGCCTTTTAAGTACCTCCCATATCCACCTCTTTCTTGACTGCCTGTTTTTGTTTACGACAGTCTCTCACCCACATGGCAAAGCCATATTCATAGGGATAACAAGCAATGCCTATTACACATGATCTCATTTAACCTTTGGCACAACCCTGAACATACATACCGTCATTCTCATCCCCAGTTTACAGAACGGGAAATCGAGGCATGGAGAGATTATGGCACCTGGGTCGCTCCCCCTAGTCAATGGGGGAGCTGGCGTTCCAAGTGTGCTGCAGCTGGCCAAGCTGAGAGCCACTCGGGACTTCTGTGAGCTGGTTGTTAAAAACAGCTGACAGCTTGAAATCAGCCATGATAGGAAGAGTTACAGCACGGAACCTGGCAAACCCTACAAACCAGAACGTTTTCTTTTCGGAGGGCAGGATTACCAGTACTCCATTGATTCAAGCCCAGGCAGTCTGCTGGGAGAGGCCGCTCTTCACCACTGTGTATAGCACCGCTGCCATTTTTACTTCTTAATACCCAGATTTTGCAGAAAGCTGGAGCTTAGGGGAGTAAAGAGTTTTGGTTTACAGAGCACTGTAGAAGTTAGAGCTGATATTTATTTAATCCGGGGTTTGTTGGAAGCTGCCAGGTGAGGCAGGGCTGCTAGCCTGAGCATGATTGGATTACTAACCCCTCAGGAGTCCGAGGCAGCTGCTCTCGAGGGCTCGGCACTTGGCACCTCTACTGAGGTGTGGGGTTTAGATACTTGCTCGCCCCGAGTATGCCTCGTGCTTGGTGTCGGGTCTCATTCGCTTGTGCGTCTCCTGCATGAAACTCCTCCTCGTACTCTGTAAACATTTCCTGAATTAAAGGCAAATGGCATGTTATCACTCTAACTCAAATCCAACCTGGAAAAATATGAAGCGTCCGTCATGTCTCCAGAAGTTGGTGACCGGGAAGCCTCCATGGCCTCGGCAAGGAATTAGCTTCAGAGGGCTGTCGCAGTTGGGACAACGTTTCCCTGCAAAAGAGCAGAGCATGGTGACCGTGCCCGGCTGAGCCATGCCAGCTGACTCCTGAGTGTGTGCAGCCATGGAGGTGTCAGCCTGGATGCCTGGGTGGTAGCAAGTACACTTGGGCAGAGCGTTATGCACTTCCAACAACTGGGCATTGCCCCTGACCCAAGGAGGCCCGGCTACCGCAATGGCCCAGGTCAGTCTCACATGTGGACAGAAGAAGAGGTCTATAGAATGGGATATTTCACAGGTTGGGGAGAGCTTTTCTGAGCAGAAAATCCTTCCCCATTATTTACTAATACTTGAAATTTTTTGTAGAGAAGAAGAAAAAATTCTTTTACTTCACGATTAGAACTAAGGGGCAAGGGGCAAAGCCACATGGCAGAGAGAACACTAAAGCCACATGGGAGAGCTACTAAATTTTCACTAAAGTGTAAATGACTGATATTAGATCCTACCCTGAGAGCAAATCTTGAAGACAAGTTACAACGAAAGAACATGAAGTAACTTGAGATCTGAAATGGGCAAGTCACAGGGAATGTTGAATGAATTTCCCAATCTGATGAATATGATAAAAAAACAAAATGAGCACATACTTCAGCACATGATTATGGCATGAACCTAAATGTCATGGAATTGGGTCTAATCCTAAATTTAGTCCCAGTGCTTATTTAGTTCCACTGAAAATCAAAACACTCCTTGATATCACAGAGAGGCCCATTCCCCAAGGGGTCAGGGGGCAAGTCCAATAAACAACTTTCTCCTAAACTTTACATGGGCACACTGATGAATTAACGTTAGTCCCATAAGTGAAGCATCTTCCTTTTAACAGAGGCCCTTAATCACATGCCTTAACCCAAGGGAACGGTTTAAATGGTAGTTGCTGTGGTCACAGCAGACCTGTGGGGCAGTCCCCCCGTGGGGGAAGAGAGGAGCGGTTGGTTCTCCTTAATATGTTCTACGTAGGAACAGCCTTGGTCTCCACCACACTCCAGTGTGAAGGTTGGCCCTTGGGTTGTGCTGGGATGTAGTGGCCTATCTGGGCAGGAGCCTTTGAATGAATGCCATCTTTGTCTCCAGGGCCAGCAAGCCCTACTCACTCTGCTGCTTCTGCCGGGCTTTGTCACAGATCGCAGGTCTCAGGAAGATCTTGCGGCCCTCCTTGGTGGAGCAGTCCCGGCTGCACACCACCACGCCCAGGCAGGACTTCTTGAGGATGCGCGAGTTGTGGTTGTTGGTGTTGCGCATGGCCCAGCTGCTCAGGTGTCTCTGCGCGTTCCTGTCCTCTGAGCTGTAGATGAACTTCTCGTAGGAATCCGGCCATTCTTGGAACCAGTCGGTCTTTTTCACATTCTTACACAAATGACACAAAGGACATAGTTATATTCTAAGCTAGAAGACACAACTGTCCATCACTGCAGAGTCAATTGACATGAAGGTTGTTTCAGCACTCAAGAGCTAGGTGAGAGGCCTTCGGCAAAGACCACGCTGGGTCTAATTCCGATGGTGAGACCTGAGAACTCAGCACAGCAGCAGCAACACAACTGCTCTGTCTACTGAACCTTTGCTCCCCAGACCACAGTGAGCTGTAGTTCAGCCCCCGAGTTCCCCCTGATGGCCGCTTCTCTAGCCCTTGGTGATCAGAGTTAGGACCATTCTCCCTAAGAATTTTTGAGGGTGAAGTAGTATTATTGTGCTCTGACACAATTAATGTGGAAATCCTTGTGGCTGGACAGTGAGATAATATCTCATGCCACAGTGTAGTTACCTTATTAAGAATGTTAAGATTTATGCAGAGTCACCAGCCGTGGAGGGACTGGAGAGCCCTGGTGCAGGAGGATTCGGAGAGCCGCTACCTCCTCTGAGGAGGTTGTCTTCCTTTTTCTCTACTCCCGCATTCATGTGCCTCAAACAGGGAGAAGAGTAAGGAAGAGCTGACTTTGACCGGAAGTGTCTATCTTCTTGCCCAGGACTGGCACTATTCCCTGCATGTGAACATCTCACTACACTAAGGCACTCAGTCATTACAGCCTAAGTTATTTGGCTTTCTGTGCATCTGTATAAGAGGGATAGCAAGACCAGCCTACCTCAAGAGTAGTTTTGAGAATTAAATATTAGTCACTGATGTGTGGCTCACATTCCTTAGGCCCTGCTTTGGTACAGAGATGCTCCATTTGACAGATCCCACCTAGTTCTTACAGTGGGAATTATTAAGCAATCTCAGGCATCAAACTTGGGCTGTGTCCATCCCCACAGCTTCCAGAGACCTGCTATGGTATAAGAATATTTTTCATTAGGAAGATTCCAGAAGATTGGACTGGAAGGTTCTAGACAGTCCAGGAGTGATCAGGGTACTACTGATATTGATTGAGTTAAAATTCAGGTTTAGAACATGCCAAAGAACTTTGTAACCTGAGACTCTGGGCAAGTGATTTTTGTCTCTGAAGCCTCCGTTTGCTCTTCTCTGAAATGGGAACATTGATAAAACACACTTCTAACAGTACTGTAAGGAGCAGCTCTGTAAGCCTCATATAATGATAGCTGCTGTTTAAATGGAATGTCATGGGAGCTAATGTAGGATCCAAGGAAATAGGAGAGGTTTTATGTACACGATAGGTTACTGGTTAAGAACTTGGGGCTGCAAACTAGGGCCCGTAGGCCAAATCCAACCTGTTTTGGTAAGTAAAGTTGTATTGGAACACAAATGTGTCCCTTCATTTCATTGCTGTGCACGAATACCTTGTACCACCACGGCAGAGCTGAGTAGCGATGGCACAGACTGGATCGCCCACAAAGCCTAAAATATTTACTATGTGGACCTTCACAGAAAGTTTGCCAGTTCCTGGCTAGGAGCATGGCCAATGCGGGCAGATGGGCTCGGTGTGAGTCTTTACACAGTTCCTCGCCCTCTCAGTGCCTGTTTCCTGCTCTCTCACATGAGTACCTACCTCACAGAGATGTTATGAGGACCAAATCTGTTAACATACCCAAAACGTTTATAACAGTGCCTGGCACATAGCAAGTTCCAAATTGACATGAGCTGTTACTCTACTAGACCTAGGGCCGCACACAGTGAGCCAATGTGATTGTAGGAGCCACTAGCTTTCAGGAGAAGAGAGACCCACAGAGAGGTCACTTCATGCTTTAAACCTTGCCTAGCCAAATGCAAGGCTGGATTCCAAACACCTATAAAATAAAGCTTAACTGGTGCCACTCTGGTCTCACCATCTTCCTTCTCAGGGCAATGACAAAAGCTGGCCCTTCGAGTAACTGCCACGGTATGGGAAGAGGTGCTTGCCCCAGAAAAGAAGGGCAAAAGGACGTAAGTCACAGGAGGAGAGTGGCCCCCGGAGGAACAGTCCCCTCTAATCCACCCGGCAGCTACACGAGAGTTCCAGGAAGGAGGCACAATCAGGCCCAGATGCTGAACAGACTGTCTTCTTCTTCCAGGTTGTCCTCTCTCTCCCTCAAGTTCTTGGTAATTCTGAGCAGGATAAAATTCCACGCCCCAGCGTGAGAGAAATAGCTCAAGCAACCTCATCTCCTACTTTCTCTACCCGCCTTCTCTCCTCTGCCTTCTGATCTAAGCTCCAAACAAGACTCTCTTGTTTTCTTCACAGAAATGCCATAGAAAGCATAATACTTTATCTCCTGAAATAATAAAAATGCAGGTTAAAATGTGTATCTTTGTCTTACAATTTGGAGTGTAAAAATCTACTGGTGGATTTGAATTCTTTAAATACAAAGCACAGTTGTTGGGGTTGCAGAGGAAGGGGCAAGGTAGACATGGAAAAACTACGGGTTTCATGTTTTAAAGATGACAGTGACCCCTTTAGGCTTGTCAGTGGCACAAATCCCATGAGCCAGGAGGAGGCAAGGTGTTTATGAGAGCAGTTCAGATGTTGTGGCTGAAGTAGACTCCCTGTTCGTGGAGGGAGGAAAAAAATGATCACCGTGCGCCTGCCTGCCTGCCTGTCCCTGTCTCTTTCCTATTTTCTCTCAGTTTAATGTATATTTTGATCTCCCTTGAGGCTTCCTCTTTGACCCATGGATTATTTAGAAATATATTGTTTAGTTTCCATGTATATATAGATTTTCCCATTGTCTTTTACTATTAATTTCTAGTTTGATTCCATTGTATTTGGAGAATACACTCTGTGTTTTTAGTTATTGGAACACCCTGGAGATTTGTGTGAGGGATCACAATACGTTTTACACTCTATTGTCTTTTAAGCTTTTTTTTTTTTCAACAGCCCCTGCAGTTGCACCCTAGGTCTCCAGCGCTGTTAATAATGCATCAATTTTGCCAAAGTATGGACTTGAGAAAATGAGTAGGAGTAAAAGTATTCAAGCTATTTTCTTGGCTATTTATTTATGCCCAGTCATTTGACCTGGATGCTTTGCGGAATCTTTGACCTTTTGACACTGAAATTAAGGAAAACCCTGATCACAATAACTCAAAGGAATCCAGGTGTCAAATGAAGGACAATGATTTCTGAGAGCCTTTTAAATTTAAGGCACAGGAGAGGTAAAATGTAAAAGAAAGAATAATTATTTCTTAATCATGTTTAGCAAATCCCCACAAATAATTTTCTTCACTTTTTTTTAGATCTTGTGTTTATTTTAATTTCTAACTTTTCATGAGTAACTCTTTGTTTTTCCTCTTGGTTAAGAAGTTTATAATTTAAGGGGAGTATTCTTAAGTTCTCCAACATGTGAATGTATTAATTTATATTTTATGACCTCATTGGTAATATCATTGGGAGCTTAATTAATGTTTCTATAACTTCTGTGTCTAATTTTTTACTGAGACTTAATCCTCTCACTCACTCAAAATCTTTGAAACTCTGTGTGCAGTCATAGATCACCCTTTATCCTCTCTTCATTCTAATTTGCTTAATTGCTTGAAGTGTTTAATAGGGTGCCTTGAGAATTAAATACATTCTATTACACAAAACTAAAAAATTAAAATCAAAATTCTGAAATAAGGCATCAAAAATATCTACATTATCATGTTATTACATTAAAGTTGATTTTCATCTGGAATATAGTCTCATATAAAGCAATTGCGTACCAGGTTTTCTTTAATTATAATAGCTTATTAATTCCTTGTAAATAAATGTTTCCAAATAAGACAAGGATAGCAAGTAGGTACATCTTAAAGCAAATCAGAGGCAAAATAAATTAGATGTCACTTATAGAACACAGAAAAACAATTCAACCAACATCTTGATTTATATACAACTCTTCAAGAACTTATCTCTTCTGAGAGAACTGAAAACCAGACTCCAAGTGTTATCAAAAAGAAATTTAATTCAACAAAATGCTTTCCAGTTAAATCAAGAATTCCTGCTTAGGCCAAACCTGCCATTTCCTTCCTTTGTTAAGGGGTCAAGACTAAGGACAAAAAGATCCTAATTTGCTTAGACCACACGAAAGTGAGCCAGAGTTACCCAGCTCTCAAACTCTCTGTCGCCTACCTCTCTTTCCTCTTCTCCCGTCCATTTCCCACTCCACCCCGCTAAGCAAGGGCCCTCCTGATAGGCACTCAGAAGAGAGAGCTCTGCTACCACTGAGGCAGTAAGGGTCCCATCCCCCTCACACCAGAAGTACAGGGCAGCGGCAGACTTGTGGCCCCGATTGCGGGAGACCCAGTGACCATATAGGAAAGGGATCAAGAAAACTGGACAAAGAGGACAAAATCATGGTCATCTGCATCAGGCTAATACTACGTGACCTAATAATTGACAAGAAATCCAGAATCTGATACCTGTTACCTCCCTAACACCAACACACAAAAATTACTACAACTGCTTCACTGGTTACATTTAGTCACATGAATTACAGAAAGAGCTAAAAAATTCACCTTTGCTCATAATTTTGTGTTCATCCCTACAAAAGCTAAAGACTTCTTTTTGGCTAAAATCATGATCCAGGAATTAACTGACTGGAGATGTAACCTCTTTGTAATTGACTCACCAGGTTTTAGGATGGTCTGCATTTCTATTTAACTTATGTATATCTTAATTTTTTCCCTATAAAATATGTACTTCAGCTTTGTGAGTTAATGATTTGGTGTGATTTTGGCAATGGGTTTAATCTGAAAACTGCTTATGCTTAGGAACAAAATGATTCAGAGTGTTTGCTGTGGTGTTGTTGCAACAGCCTATAATTTTGCTCAGAAAAATTGGCTGGTGTTAAGAATGGAGTGGGTATTCTCATCTTATTTCTGTAGAGAATACTGTTTAGGAATAAAAGGAACTGATTCTCTTCTCAATTTTCAACCAGAAAAAAAGGAAGAAATTTCTTAGAGATTCAAGGCTCTCAACTGTTACAATAAGGATTAATGAGAGTGTGACACTTTCTGGGGCCATGTGATAAACATTTTTAATGAAAGTAAAACTAAACCAACACCAATCATTTGCCTCTTGAACCAAGAAAACCCTAAAGCAATTATATTCGAACTTTCAAAATGCAAAATTGGTGTATTAGATTGGCCTGGAATAAACGGACTCTTATCCATTATGGTTTTGAGTAATTTAAGTGCCTACAGTTCTGGGCTGGCTCCTTGGGGACTGGATTAAGGAGAGATGGGCATCAAAATAACCACAATTTAGAGGAGTGGCCAGAAACAAATGAAAAGAAGGTTTGTATGACACCTATGCAGCTAAGAGAAGGAAGAAACATACATGAAACAAACTGGGGAGGGATGATTTATTGAGGGCATGTAGCCTTTCTAAACGCAAATGTGACCATAGTGGCTTCCCACTGCCTGTAAAATAACCCAATTCTCTTAGGACAGCCTGCTGCCAAACCACCTTCCTGGTCCATAGGCTCCCAAATCTCCTTGCTGGACACCTATGCACAAGCTCCCTCAAATGCAGACTTTCAATAGCTTCAGACTCTGGTGCCCCACTCTGCCTTCATTGTCTTGATTGCTTTCTTCACCTGTCCTAATTCACCCACATTTTACAAAGCACTTCTCTGGAGAAGACCCTTTGCCAGGGGTTCTGCCTTGCTTTCCGTGCCCAAGTCCTGCTGAATTACACACTTCCTCTTCCAAGCGCCTCAAGCATTTTCTTACATGGCCTCGATTCTCTATTTGGGCTCTTGTCTTGTTCCCTTAGCCCAGATCATGAGTACTTTCATGGAAGTTAACACAGCTCAATGACCTTGTATCCCTGAGCCTGCTATAGTGTCTGGCACATTCCAGTCCCTCAAAAAACATCTGATGTCCTGTTAAGGACATCACCATTCACTGCTGTCAAAAATTAACCCATAAGTCTTGATTTATCTGAGACTCATAAAGGCATATGGAGTTTCCAGGACCCAATGGAGTCAGGGTTCACTCAGGTGACCATTGTGAAACTTGAACACATTAGTGGGTTAATAGGAAAGAATTTGTTTTACAGGTTGCAGGAATTTGCCCACAGGTTGCAATAGTAGTCATCCTAGCAAGAATATAAAATTATTAAAAATTGCCCTGGCTGGTGTGGCTCAGTGGATTGAGCGCTGGACTGTGAACCAAAGGGTCGCTGGTTTGATTCCCAGTCGGGGCACATGCCTGGGTTGCGGGCCAGGTCCCCAGCAAGCGGTGCCCAAGAGGTAATGTTTCTCTCCTTCCCTTTCTCCCTCCCTTCCCCTCTCTAAAAATAAATGAATGAGTGAATGAATGAATAAACAAATCTTTAAAAAATAGAGAGAGAGAATATAAAATTAAGAAAAATAAACTAGAAATTCTTTGTGTGGATGGGACAGAGAATAAAATTGGGGAAATTTGTAATAATAACAAACCATTGCATTTGATCCTTTAAACAACCTTTTTTTAAATGTCCCAACAGGTGATCTGAGGAAGAGTAATTGCCTAAGGGACTCCCTGAAAAAAGGGTCCATGGTCAAAAACAAGTTAGGGCAACACTGCTTAACACAGCTCCCTCTTGGGAACACCATCGATGAACAGTATGGTTGGAAAGGCTCCAAGTCTGCTGGAGAGAAATCTGCTGAACTTCGCTGAACCTAGTATTTCTCATTGTCTTTCTTCACAACACCCATTACAATTGTTTGTAACTTATACTCTACTGAAAGCATTTTGGGAAACACTAGTCTAAACAGCTTAGAGCTTTAGGCAGGATATATAGAAATTACTATTGTTATTTAACCACGGAGATAACTAAGACTTTAGAAAAATCGATTTGTTGAGAGTCACACAGCTTATAAACAATGAAGTCACTTATTAATAAATTTCATATTTGTTATTTGTTGTTTAATATATACAAGGCATTGTGGTAGGCCTGGGCAGATGGTTCTAGAATCCTAGACCATTAGAACTAAAAGGGCACATAAGAGATCATTTAGTGCAACCATGTCATTTTCAGAAGAAAGGGAGTGTCAGAAACACTAACCATCTCCTTCCCAGGGCTCTACAATTAAAAGCAGCAGAATAGGAATTCAATGCAAGGGTTCTGTCTCCAAGCTCCCTGCTTCTCAGAGTTCACCGTACTGCTTCCAGACTTGTGCACAAAACATAAAATTGAGTATGCATGGAAATCCTTCCAAGACCTTTTTTTTTCACCTCAACTGGTTCTTGATACAATCCCAGAGCCAGCATAAAACCAGCCGAGATGGTGTTGTCTATGCTTAGAAAATTTTAAGGGACCTTTGCATTTTTAATCATTTCCCTAGCATATTTAAAAAATTGAAGGGCACTTAGCTATTTCTATGGGAAATCAAAGTTTTTCTATGAACTACAAATAATACATTTCCAAAAATGAATGTGTATTTTTGTTGTAAATTTTTCACTTTAATGTCTTGGGTAGCTGAGAATGTTTTTATTTTGGGAATTCATGTTGGAACATGTGCTTTCATGAGCCCTGAGACTCCCTTCCGGGAGGTAGCTCTTTCTTTCTTATGTCTACAGATCTGGGGATGATATGGATCCTCTGCTCCAGAAAAAAATGAGTGTCAGTATACAGTGCTGCCTATCATTTCATAGGATTCTTATACCCCATTACAACTCCTGCTCTGGGATGTGACATTTTAAAATCATCTATGGACCTACTTACTTCAATTCTTGATTTTGAAGATGCCCAGCTTATATTTGGAGTTTGCAATCATGAAATTAGGAATAGGCAGACATACAGGTCCTTGAGCCAGGAGTAATTAAAATTTATCTTAAAATTTCCCCTAAAACAGCTATATCAATCATAAACCAGTGGAGAGCAACTACAAAGACAAATCCCTAAAACAGATATTATTATGATTTAGCTGTGGTTTAATTAATTATCCTCAAATGAACAGAAAGTAGGGCACACTTAGTATCCACCACTTTTCCAAGACCTACCAAGAAATGATGTAGGGGGGAATTTAAAGAGAGACAAAAGAGCCCTGACCAGCATGGCTCAGTGAATTGGGTGTCATAACACAAACCGAAAGGTGTCCAGTTTGATTCCTGGTCAGGGCACATGCCTGCGTTACTGGCCAGGTCCCCAGTTGGAAGTGTGTGAGAGGCAATGGATGTTTCTCTCGCACATTGATCTTTCTCTCCTTCGCTTTCTCCCTCCCTTCCTCACTGCCTAAAAGTAAACAAATAAATCCTTAAAAAAAGAAACAAAAGGAAAATTTTTTTAAAAGATTTAAACATAAAGAGAAACAAGAGAAAATTAGAGTAAAATTTGGAATGATCTGGACATCTTTATCAGTGTGAAAATCTGGAATGGTTATAAATCAAGGCTGTGGACTCTCTATTCCCTCTCCACTGCTTGGGATGATTCTTGTTCCCCAGAATCAGGCAGACTGGCTTAAAGTTTTCAGTATTTGGTAATGGTGGTCTCCAGTCTTACCTTTTCTACTCACCTTTTCAAACAACTTTCAGTGAAGCATCCTTCAACTATCAGAGAGGGAGGTCATTGAAGTCAGTTTTAAACAATTAATGTTTTCCACAAAATTAAGAGTTTAAAAGTCAATTGCCAAAAACGAAGGCCAAGAAAACATAAAATGAAAGCCATTCCATAGCTGGGAAGCAGTCCAGTGTGTGTGTGTACTATTTATAAAAGTTCTAGAGGAGCAAGCTGTAGCTCACATGACATCTATCATTTGGACATTCCAGGTACAGATTTAATTTGAAACCATTTCTATAGCAAATCATGTTGTATGGGAATGTATGTGCATTATGAAGAGTTCATCTATGGGCAAATATATTATCATGGATTTTATTTTTGCCACTGGCCAGGGGTGGGTACAACCTGAGCCAAGCCAACTTTGAAAGAGCAGGAAAGTAGCATTTTCCTTGCTGCTGTTTAGAGTGGGGGAGGGGAGAGGGTTGGGCAAATCTGGTATGTAAAGTCTCACTCAAATCATAGGTTTTGACATCTTTTAAAAATTCCTCAATGGGATGTCTAGCTGAAGCTCTGGAGGGAGGAGTTTACCAGTTGAGACTCCCACTAATTTCTTTCCAAGTCTCAGCAAGTAATAGTCAAGGCTTCATAGCCAAATACAGGGTGGGACAAAAATGGGTTTATAGTTGTGAGTACATGGAAACAGAGTTTATTCTTGTATTATTATTTATTAATTATTGTATTATTTTCTCTTTTTTCACCTTCTTTTAGATTTTGTTTATTTATTTTTAGAGAGAGGGGAACAGAGGAAGAAGAAACATCAATGTGTGGCTGCCTCTTGCACGCCCCCTACTGGGGACCTGGCCCATAGCCCGGGCATGTGCATCGACTGGGAATCAAACTGGCGATCCTTTGGTTTGCAGGCTGGCAATCCACTGAGCCACACCAGCCAAGACTAATTATTGTATTGTTTTCCATACGAACAACTGTAAACCTACTTTAGCCCCACCCTACCCTGTATTGAAGGCAGATCTTTATAGCAAATACATACCTGTGGCAGTTTTATATCATTAATATCCCAGCTTAATATCTCTTTGTCCTCAGAATCAAAGTCCTCAGGTTCCATGATAAAGTCAGGTCACCCACCAATTTCCGTCTATTCAACTCCCCTCAGCAGTGCTTAAGAATTTTGCTCTCAATAACTGTTGGATCAGTCCACTCAAGCAGCTTAGACCAGGAGCCTGTTTTCTGTTGCTAAAAAATAAATGACAATAATATTGACCATTAAAGATAAAAGTCAGTGCCTGTCTAACTGAAAAATGTTTTATTGATGTTTTTGCAGTCACCAACATACAAACAGAAGTAAGATGTAGAAGCCAGTAGGGATCTTGCTGAAATAAAGCCTGACCATTGGAAATCAGAAGTATAGTGATCACTGCAATAACCCCTGGGTGTGGGCTGCTTTCTGCTTCCTGGACGCAGGTTGTGAAGGCTTTAGTACAAGTGGCTGTAACCTGCAGCCAGTCGTTAAGACCTTTTCCCCATAAATATACCTGAGTTTGAGACGGAAAGCTGGCTTGGAGTTCTTTCCACAGAAATGCCTTCATAAGTTAGCTAAGGTGTGGATGAAGTTGCAGGAGGGGAACATAGCAACCAGATGTGTCTCTACATTTTAAACATCCAAATTGCTAGATTAATTGGAGATTAATGTCGGTTTCCTCAATAAATCCAGTGTGCACTTTGTATCTTCACATATTATCAAATGATATGCTCATATGGGATTCCTCTAAAACCTCGACATTATCAACATTTTGGACCTGATCATTCTTTGTTATGGGGGGTTATCTTGTGCACTGTAGGATGTTTATCAGCATCTTTGGTCTCTGCCCTTTAGGTGCTAGTAGCAAACCACCCCGCTTTGTTGTGACAATCAAAAAGTCTGGAGACAAGGCCAAATGTTTCCTGGGATGGGGGGTGGGGGTGGGAGGGATTGTATGAGAACAACAGGTCTAACATAGTGTCTCTTGTTATTTAACCTGAAGCACTCTTCAAGCCTTTCTGACTTTATCTTTAGAAATCTCACTCTTTCCTGTCCCCCGCAAGAAAACTCTCACTTTGCTTTAATTAAATTGTATTATGTAAATAATAGATATTCAAAATTTCTGTGCAAACTGAATTTCTTCCTCTATGAGGAATACTGCTCTGGTTTCTAATTGTAATGAGTTAAAGGAGATTTACAAATTAAGAAATAAAGTTAGTTTGAAGTTTTCTTTTGAGAAAAAACTAATCATTTTCCGTAGGAAATGTGCTTGCTTGGTAGTTGAATATGAAGTGAAGCATGTTTACGTGTACAGTTGACCCTTGAACAATGTGAAAGTTAGGGGTGCCAACACCCTACACGGTCGAAAATCTAAGCCAAGTCTCTGCGTGTATGTATTCCCAACCACAGATTGAAAATACTGTATCATTACCATTTACCTTGTCCTTAGAAAAACAAGGGATGTGATGATGTTAATATAGAACTATTCAGTAGTAAACACAAACTACAAGTTGGTTTCACAGTACCATGTGCTCTCTTCCTCAGTTATGTGACTTTATATAACCCTAATACTTGCCAACCACTTACAAGAATCCAAGTGTATAGACATAGAAGACTGTTGACATGAACATATAAATGAAGTCTGGCCATTAAATAACAAGCTAGACAGAGTCGAAGAGACTTCCTTACTCTACCTACCCAAATTTACCTCTCACCTAGTGTTCACAGACTCAAAGAACATAAAATCTCCACTTCCCATTTCAAACATTGACATGCAAAATTAAATTCCCATGAGTTTTAAATCAAATTGTATGTTTGATATATAAACATCGAGTTAATTAAGAAATGATGCTATAGGTTGACTTTAATTTAGAAGATTTTGATAACAAGCACATTAGACACAAGTATCAAGTGAAAATGCGGTAACAGTTTTACGTACTTACTTCTTTGAACACTAACAACAGTACTCAAGTGGTCTAAAATTTGTTATGGCTAATTGGGATAGGTTATTCTTTTTTTCTAAAAAACAAAACAAACCAAAAAAACTTAAATAAGAAAATTTATATTTTCTAAAATGGAAAACATTATTTTAAGCTTAGTTAACATGTACATCATTCTTTTGTTTTTAAATTAAAGAGAGAGGAGTCAAATATCTTGCTGCAGAATAATTACATTGTTTTAGAATTTTTTCTCATATAAAGTTTTGCCAAATAAATGAACATTAATATTTCTTTGAAGGATAAGAGCAACACATAGAAAAGAAGAAAAGAGTGTTTGCAGCCCTTAAGACATAAACAAACTGAACTTTCCTCCAGGATTAAAAATCTAAATTTGTCAAGACTTTCTTTTTTTAAAGCAGCTCAGGTCAAAGTGTATTCAATTTTCATCATTTCTACCAAGAAACAAACAAACAAAAAATAAAAAAATAACTAGAACCAATGGAACCCTGTAAGAATGGGGTGGCCATTACCACATCTATATTTGCTTCTTCTCAGGATTTCTGGCTTCCTTACCTTCTGACTTCTTATGGAGATGCAGACAATACTCTGTTATAAAAACCTCATCTCTGGTTCAGGTCCCAGCAGGCTCTGGTCATTTTCTAGGCAGAAGTCGCTGTTCCCTAATCCAGGTCAAGGTACATTATGCTAATGAGCTCTGGCAATGGTCCAATCAAAATCTAGATGCTCCCAGCTCAGGGTAGGTAAGACCAAGGGGGGAGCCACTTAACCAGCCCAGTTCTTAGAATGCCAGCAATGTGATGAATATTCTATGATGTGCCTCTGAACTTTCCCCTCCTTTATGCAAAGAGGGCATTTTAACTAAAATGGACATTGAGAGCCTAGAGAGGAAGCACAGATGTTTGCCTTCTGGTAATGTCACAGGTTAGGCCCAAGGCAGAATTTACAGTAGATTCTAATTCTCCCACCATTTAGCCCTGCCTATGTGCAACACACACACACACACACACACACACACACACACACACACACACACACACACAACCAACAGACATTGCACTGGTGGAATTTACTGGAATAGATACATGAGGTAGCCAACAGGTCCTAAACCAGAAACACCAAAATGCTACTCTACCCCTAACAATGAGTGTTCCAGTAATTCTGAGTGTTCCAATACCACCCTCCCCCTCCAAATAATACAGTTCTCCCTTCCAGAGATGTTCTCAGTACTCTGGGCACAGCCCAAATCAATTCAGGTCATCTTTTATCTTCCAGGGAGTCTGCTAGGCTCTGTAGATACAGGGAACGTTAAAGCCATTAACAAGTTAAGTCTAGTCTTGGCCAATGGCTCAGTTGGTGGGAGTATGTTCCGGCACACCAAAAGATTGTAGGTTTGATCCGCAATTGGGGTGTGTACGGGAGGCAACCAATCAATGTTTCTCTCTTGCATTGATGTTTCCTTCTCTCTCTCTACCTCTCCCTTCCTCTCTCTCTAAAACTAATAAATATGTCCTTAGGTGAGTTTTTTGGTTTTTTTTTTAAGAAAAAGAAGTTCAGTCTACCAATTAGGCACTGGAAATATCAGGAGGAACACTTTGTAAAGTATATGGTTGCCTAATCATTATACTGTACACCTGAAAGTAATGCAAAATAATACTGAATGTAAATTGTGATGGAAAAAAATTAAAAATTAATAAAAAAGAAGTTCAGTCTAAGGGAAAAGATGAAAAATGATGCTAAGTAATCCCAAGATAACTTGACGCATAGAATAGAGTCAGCCTAGAAGTAATGTAGAAAGGGGAAATTATTAATATGGAGAGAATCAAGGGAAACTTCTTTCACAAAAATGATGCCTCACCAGCCCTTTAAAGGACAAATAGGTATTTGTCAAGGCATCAGGAAATGGAAAAGTTTGTTCCAGTTTGTGGCAATGTCATGGGAAAAGGTAAAGAGGTATGAAAATTGTGGTGTGCTCAGCAGCACACGAAGTTGTACCTGCCGGGAAGATGCAGACCATCAGAGAGATAGGCTGCAGAGGAAAGAATGAGCGGGCCAGAAGGCAAAATACTTGGGAGGCTTCACAGGTTGTGTTGGGCGGTCCCTGAGAGACCTTCAGCAACGCTGAGAAAATTTCCCACTGGTCTTCCAGTCCACAAATGAACTTTATCTTTAGCAATCTCACTCTTCCTGTCCCCCCGCCAGGAACTTCTGTCTCACTGTACGTGAATTAAATTCTATTATGTAAACAGTATTCAAAAAGTTTTGTGTAAACTGAACTTCTTCCCCCATGAGAAATAATGCTCTAGTTTCTAGTATAATTGCTTAAAGGAGATTTACAACTTAAGAAAGTTAGTTTGAAGTGTTCTACTGATGAAAAACTAATAATTTTGCAGATGAAATGTGTTTACCAGTAGAATATTCAGTGAAACGTCTTTCACTGGAGTTAAAAACTCCACATAATTTTCCTGTGCTTTATCTGACCAACCTAGGTCTGCTCTTTGCAGTCCCTCCTTTGATCAGGAGGTTGTCTCTCCATCCCCCAAATATAGTGCAGTGGGACAAAGCTTAATGTTGTGCAAGCTGAGAAAAGAGGAATGTCTAAAGTGTCCAGCTCCAGAATCACAGAGCAGGGCAAAGAGTGGATTTGAGAGCTGAGAGGCAATAAAATAATAATGGGCACACCTGTTATGTTATCTACTTGTGTTAGGTCTTTTCTCTAGAACCCCTTTTTCCACCCATATATCTAAATCTTACCCATCCTTTATAAGGAATTCTCCAAATGCTGCCTCTTTATGAGACCTTCCCAGGCTATTCTACAACATGCAATTTCTCACTTTTGTATTGTTCCAGAACTCTTCACTCCGAAATATATGCTATCCTAAATGAGTTAGAACTAACATTTTTTCTAATTATAAAATACACTTACGATCTTTAAAAAAAAATTCATGGTCTCATCTCCCAGAGATTCCGATTATTAACATTTTGGTTATGTCCTTTTAGAGGTTTGTTTTCCCCTACATAGACCACCAAACAGAGGTATTACTTTGCATAACTGTAATATGACTGTACATGCTATTGCTTTTAACTGTTTATAGGTTTTATTCTTGGCTCCCCAGCTAAGCTCATAGT